CCCCTGCACTCCTCCTCTTTTGGCATGGGAACCAAAAAAGGTTAGCCATCACTGATATAGACCAAGCAACATCTGTTCAGAGAGCTATTAGGGATTCATCTCATTCATAAAAAAGTACTGTTCTAGCACTGCCCAAAATAACCCTTGATCTGCAAAATGAATGTTCAAATAAATTTCATTTATATATTCACATTTTCATATTCAGTTAAAGTTGTGTTGTAAATTATTATTTTTTAAATAAACATTCTAGGAAAACCAACAGTAAGAAACTATGGTAGTTTATACTTCTTTAACCATACCTGTGCACCATAGATATATTTGTCTAACATCTTGCTTCCTATTGTTTGGCCTCCAATATCCCATACATGAAGAGTAACATTTATATTTCCTGGAAAACGGAAAAGGGAAACAAAAAGTTGATGTATAAGGCATAGCTGAGTTACAGAATCAAATATAAATAATCTTTACAATTCAGTATTGAAACCCTATACAATATACCTATATGCGTTCATCACTAATTTTATTGTCTTGTAAAAGGTAAGTAAGATTAGCAACAAGCTTTTTTACTGCACACATGGTTGGCTGTAATATATAAAATTTCAAAGAATGCTGAAATTCATTAAGAGGTATCACTTGTTTTTTAAGCAGCAGTTTGTACATAATACACTGACAAATTGTTTTTACACAGAATGGCAATTTGAAATGCAGATTTATTTGGCTGCCTAGCTAATGTTTTCTAAGCCATAAAACTAAAATAAAATATTGAAATACAAAATGATATTTAAAACATTTTAAATGTTATAAAGTGAAACATAAAATTTTGCTCAAGATGAAAAGCTCTGGTAGTGCTGTCCTGACATATATCTACTCATAACCTTCCCTTAAATCAATCTTACTTACTTCCAAAGAAAAGTACAGTATTGCAGTCTTAATAACCCAAATTATCAAACACAGGTTGTATCACAGAACTAGTTTATTAGTTTAAAAGATGAGCTACTTAAGATGGCAGATGGCAGTATCTTTATTAAGTTCCCAAGGAAAGGGGGGGGGTGTTGCATTCTACAGCAAAGCCCTTCAGATGCCACCAGATGCAGTGACCCTTCTCAGCATCCATGCTTCCTCTTCACTGCATCTGGTGGCAGTCTGAAGGGCAGGGCCAGCACAATATCCACAGAAGACAATTATTCTGTTATTCCCAAATGATTATGGCCATTTAAACTGGGCAAAAAAATGGATTAGCAGCTACATTTAGGTTCTTAAAATTGTCAGGCATAAAATAAATGCTCTAAAACTGTTAACTACTTCATCTTAAAGAAATCCCACCTCTTTAGGTGGTAATGTGATTAAAGGCATGGTATGCCATACAAACAAAAAAACAACAGCTCATGGAGCACATTCACCCTCTACCAATGGTACAGTAATAAATGCACTGGGGGTTCTAGGAAGGATTCAGCCTGCCTAACAATACATTGGTTATGGAAGGGGGGGGGGAATCCTGACTGGATGGCAATTTACACTCCGTCTCAGCCATATCACATGTTTTTTCTGCAGTGCTTTAGAAACAAAAAATAAATAAAACACCAAATTGGCAGGCATAAAGTAGATTTTGGATACAAGCCTATAAACAAAATGTAATGTAATTTTGCTAGTTACTATGTCACAAATTATTATTTTCACCATTTGTTAATAGCCATCCAGCAAATATTCATGGGTAAAAATCTTTCCCTTTGTTAGTAATGTGATCCAAAAAAAAAGATATAAGTGTGCATGTTATCAAGAGAAGCTTTTTTCACTTTCCTCCACAGCAATTTTTCCTGTTGATGAAAAATGAAAAAGAAAGCCTTTTTTATATTAAGAGAAAAAAAGTTGCACATAAACTTTTCTTTGCAATTTCATCATTATCTGTTGATAAGTATTTACACCTGATCAAACAACATGACACACACACACACACACCCATGCACATTTAAATGTATTGTTTTCTCAATTGTTTTTTGAAAATTAACAAGCTGAAATCAGTGAAGTTTAATTTGGCTGCCTTTTATAGCAGTTAAAAATCTGCTATATACCATAGAATCTTCAGATTCTCATCTCTCTACCTCCTTCTCTATTTCAAATTTGGAACAGCAGTACCAGAAGCATTCAAATATCATTCTGCCATTTTGGAACTGTTCCAGGCACAAAATGTGCCCATTACTAGCTTGAAATGTTTTGTACACCACTACTGTTTATATCTTTCACACTGAGCAACCTAATACAGATAGGTGGAATTTAAACAAAGTAGTATTTTTCCCATTATACTGATCTACATCAGTCCACTCCCCTCAAAAGCCCCAATCAGGTACATATTTCAACAGCAATATAGTCTTGCTGTTGAATGTACAGTACCACCCTCAAAGGAGAGCAAAGGAGGCTTTTAGTCACATGAAGAAAATGACTTTTGAGACTGAACTGTATCTAACACAAATGCATAACAAAACCTACTAATTTATTAACTTTAAAAAACAGTGATTTCATTTCATTCACCTTTGCAAATTTTCAAAAAATAATCATTTATTTGAACTATCCAATATTATTTGTATAATAAACTTCTCATTTTGATGTTAATATGGTAATTAAGCTCATATTTGTTTCAAATCTTTAGTGGAACTAACGAAAAAGGCGGTTCACAATAAGCAACTTGGTTCGTTAATTTTTTTGTATAAATTGCTGCAAGGAAACAATTTAGTCCTTTACAGGGTGGCCAGACAAATGATCCCTACATTTCTAGCTGCAGAAGAAAGTGGGTTAATTTTAATATTGCTAAATGCCTATTTAAAAAGATAGCTGTGACTGGTATACAAAATCATCAATATTTCACCCATGTCTCTAAGTAAATATGGTACCCTACAACATTTCTGATGTTCACAATAAGCAACTTGGTTCATTAATTTTTTTGTATAAAATTGCTGCAAGGAAACAATTTAGTCCTTCGAGAAGAGGGTGGCCAGACAAATGATCCCTACATTTCTAGCTGCAGAAGAAAGTGGGTTAATTTTAATATTGCTAAATGCCTATTTAAAAAGATAGCTGTAGCTGGTATACAAAATCATCAATATTTCACCCATGTCTCTAAGTAAATATGGTACCCTACAACATTTCTGATGTAAGGCATGTAGACATTCATCCCAATGGGCAAACAACTTTTCCCCATGGGTAAATAGACAAGGGTGCTAAATAAATAAATCGGAGATTTCCAGTTGTACTTCCGGTGCCTTTGGAAGCCTGATCCGCGAGCTCTGCGGTCAGCTCTGGCCTCTCCCTGTCGGAGGGTCCAAATTTGGACCATAGCCACCCTGAAGGGGTCGTGAAGTAAACAGGGACTGCCTGGCAGGTAGCGGAGAGCCGCATCTCTCCTCCATGACTTGGAAAGCCCCCTCATCTGAAGACGAGGAACAGTGGCAGCCAAAATGGCCACCAGGAATAGCCTGAATACCCAAGACTGTGCTGGAGTGGAGAAAGTGGATGGAGTGTGATCTGGGTGAGAAAATATTTTTTTGATTGGAAGTTGTCCCCAGAAATCCAAGGGAAAAGTATATTTAAAGCTATTTGTTGAAGCGGCGACCGGGCACACAAAAAAAAATCAGAGAATTAAAGGAGGAAAAAATCTGTTTTTTATGTGATAAATAGAAACTTGGTTCTCAAATTTAAAAGATGTGATATTGAGAACAATTTAAAACGCTGGAATTAAAATCCCAAATTTCTTTTTACCAAAAAGAAATTACCTAATTATTGGATTTATAATTTAAAAATAATTGAAATTGGAACAGTCAACAATATTGCAAAGAAGCTGAAGCATCCATCTGAAGCACTTCATCATCTGCTGATGAAAAGGGAAATATGCAAGCTTGGAAATAACTATTCAAAAAAACTGAAAATATTTATTGGACACAGATCTACTCTAAGACCACTAGAAATGTGATTATTAACTAAGGACTTCAGTTAAGAGCCCCTGAACATCACTGATTATTATTGAATATGTAAGGTAATTTGAAGAGGCGTGGATAACCTCCTGGTGAATTTAAATTGTTGGACTGACTATTGATGGGACATTTAAAATTGTGACTTCAAAGTTTGGATTTTTGAATTAATGAATTCTGGACAGTGGACTAAAAAGAGATTGGGCATTGGTTTTACCTGGGACGGCCATTCTCTGGGCAGCGGAGATAGCATCCAGGAATAGTTTAACTCTGTCTGTTATCCAATCGGACTGAGTATGCAATCTTTAATGTTACACCTCCTCTGGTAGCTCCTCCCAGCTTTTGACGAAGGTGTCACTGCAGACAGACGTGTGATGATGAAAAAATGCCTCCTATTGGACCCAGGCCCGGTCACCACCCAGAGAACAGGCGTCTCAGATAAGACCAATACCCATTCTCCATTGTTGGTGGAGATAACATCCAGGAATGGGGCATACCAAAGCCTGTCCTCACGGGTGGGTCATTGTCTGGGCCAAAATCCCCTGGCTTGTGTGAACCTGTTGCAAAATCCACCTAGCAAAGGCAGCGTCCACCGATGCGTAGCTACCAAATTTATAATGGCGGATAAATGGGGACAGAAAAGCCCATGTGGCAGCTTGACAGACCTCTTCCAATGAAGCCTGTGTTGCCCATGTCACTCCCTCCTGGTGGAGTGAGCAGTGATAAAATAGAATAACAGAGTTGGAAGGGACCTGAGATCTTCTAGTCCAACCTCCTGCCTAGATAGGAAACTCTATACCATTTCAGACAAATGGTTATCCAACCATTGATATGTCTTGGTGGTGGTATAGACTGCAATTTGTAGGTTTTTGCTATGCAGGCTCGTATCCAATGACCCAGGGAAATTGCTGGCTGAAAGGAGATGAACAAGGCTTATGTGCGACGTAACGAAGATATCCTTTTACTAAGGTAAGAAAAGTACAAGCCCATGCATTATTAATTCAGCTGTGCTTTGTTTGTTTTATGCTAACACCCACAATAATAACAGCAAGATTTTCATGTGAGACTGCAAGGAGAATTTGTTTAAGTTGTTTCAAGTTCTACTTTTCCTGAATTTACATATTCATGCTCCAAATCAAAGATATAATAATCTCAAATAGTATGTGCAAAATATAAAATAGTGCAACGATACAAACGTATTTAGCAATGACCTTTGTTAGTGGAATCATAGAATCATAGGGCTGGAAGAGACTTTGGAGGTCTTCTAGTCCAACTCCCAGCCCAAGATACGGGTTCTTATTCCATTAAAGTTTTATTCACATTCTTGAAGTATTAAATTGTATTATGCTCTCCTGAACACTTAACTCTTACTCCTGTTTTTATATAGTGTATTCTAATTTCATCTTACCTGGGAGTGTTATTCTTTTCAAAAAGAAGTCAAGTCCTATGGTTTGCTTGTATTGCTTTCCAAAAGAATCGTGAACAAAACGAGTAGCTAAGGAGGTCTAAAAAGAAAATTATATCTAATTCAGAAGCAATGAACAAAAAATCCAAATTTAAACTCTATTATTTCTAATATTTTATTTCTTTTACTTAACGGTAATAAAGCAATTTTGTAATACTGCAAAAACTTTACCCATCATCACAGTTCTTAGGATCACATCAAATATTAACTAATCAATTAACTAAATACTAACAATAAATAAAAAATATTGCAATGCGGAATATTACACAAAGGAATTGCCACCTCCTGAAGCTTGACTGAAATATACTGGCTAAGTGGAATAAGGAAGAGAGGGGAATGCATACCTGTTCTTCATTCTTTTAAACATTGCCTGTGGAACATGAAAGAAAGCAATGAATGCCATTGCTGAAAAGAGGTTAGATCACTTTCAGCAACAATCCTTCTCACCATTCTTTCTTTTTAAAAAAGAAACTCCCTGAAAACAACATGGAGTTGGACTAAATTTGAACTGTATCTCACTTTCAGGTCAAAAGGTATTTACCGTATTTTTTGGAGTATATGACACACCTTTTCCCTCAAAAAAGAGGCTGAAAATCTGGGTGCATCTTATACACTGAACACAGCATCTTTTTGCCTCCTTAAACCCCGCCTCCTTAACCAAAATGGCCATGAATAGCCTTTAGGAGGCTTCCAGAGTGCTCCTGGGTCGTTTTTTGCTCATTTTTGGGCCCACTCGCACCCCCAGGAACACTCTACAAGCCTCCTAAAGACTATGCATGCCTTTAAAAAAAACGGGCCCGTTTTTGCAAAAAAAGAAGTGTTTTGGGGAGGTTTGTAGAATGCAAAAACTTTTTTTTTAATTTGCCTCTTCAAAATCTTGGTGCATCTTATACTCCAGTGCATCTTATACTCTGAAAAATACAGTATTTTAGATTTTTTAAAATCTAAAAATCCCACCTTTATTATTATTATTATAAATTGAAAGCAGCAAACATACCTAATACTTGTCATAGTTTTCCCTTAATAACAACCCTGTAGAATTCGACCGAAAGTTCTCCAGCTGGAGCCTCACATGAACTTTGTCTGACAAATCAATGCTGAGATCCTTTTTGGTTCAGAACATCCTGGGGGGGAGTGAAGAAGGGGCAGCGTCTCATCAGACCCAGAGGGAGTACAACAGGTCCCTCATAGGTCAGAGATTTGCTCTCTGAATCGGTGGCAGGGTGGCAGCATGGCAACATGGCTGCACAAGAAGCTGACTTCAGGCCAACTGAACAGTAGCGTGCAGGAGACAAGATGAAAGCCTGGTAAGAAGATCTAATTAACCCACAGTCATAAATCAGAATTTGGAAAAGGCAAAGAACCTTGAGAGTATAAATAATATTGATGGACAAATCGGGATTTGGGCAAAAAGAAAGAAGGGGGGAAATCGAGGGTTGAATCACTAGCCCAAAAGAGCCATTTGCTTTAAACAATTTAGACAGAAAGGAGAAAGCAGAAAAGTGACAAACCCATTCAAACACAAACTTTAAATTTGGATTTGGACTTGAAAAGGTTGTGTTTTTAAAAGAGATTGGGAGGATGAAACGGAATCCAAAACATACCAAGGAGATTTGCTTCATTCGAGTTTCTTCTAACATATCTTAAGCAACTCCAATTAATGAGAAGTGGAATGTAATGGGGGAAGGGGAATCAAGAAAAAAGCACGATTTTCTCACTGATAACCTCATCTTGCCTGAGCATGGCAAATGGAATGCGAAACTCTGAGCAGGAAGTTTTAATTAACCAATTGCCATAAATCAGAATTTGGAAAAGCAGGAGGCAAAGAGAAACATACCGGAGATTTGCTATATTCAAGTTTGTTCCAATTAATATATTTTGAGCAACTATAACCAACGAGAGGTGGAAGGTAACAAGGGAAAAAATAATAATAGAATTAAGAACCGGGAAAATATGAAGCTTGGTTTTTTTTTCCCAAAGAGAGAACAAAAGATCAAGATGGCTCCCGCTTCTCTTCTTCTTCACATTACCTGAATTAACTAAATTTAGGGTGGACCAGAACTCTGAAATAACTGTATAACTAACTGCAATTTTGGAACTGGACATTAAGGTAACGGGGGGGGGGGCAATAAAATCAAGAGCTGGGAAAGTACAAAGTTTTTTTTCAGGATTTTTTTTTGGGGGGGCGAAGGAAGAACAAAGGATCAAGATGGCTTCTGCCTCTCTTCCTCTCTACATTAGCTGAACTAGCTAAATTTAAGGTGGACTAGAACTCTGAAATAAGAACTGTATAACTAACTGTAATTTTGGAACTGAACATTATGGAAAGATGGGAATTTGAAGAACTACATAAATCATTAAAATCAAGTCTAAATAGAATTTTGAAGTTAGATATTGAGGAGAAGCAAGAAGTGAAGGAAGAAGTGAAGGAAGAAGAGGGGGTAATGAAGGGGTAGAAACGGTGGAAAATAAAAAGCAGACAAAAACTTCATTGGGTTTGACAGTGGTATAGGGAAAATTGAAAAGGTGGGATGTGTCCCAACAAAAAGAAATAAAAAGCAGACAAAAGATCTTACTGAGTTTGATAGTAGAATAGGGAAAATTGAAGAGGGGGGTTAAGCCCCAACAAAGGGAAATACAAAAGATTTAACTGGGTTTGACAGTGGCTTGGGGAAAATTGAAAATGGTGGACAGGTCAAAACAAAGAAAAGAGAGAAGACAGGAATAGAGAAGTTGGACAAAAGACTTACTAGGAAAAAATAAGACAATTAGAAATTGTTATATGAGAATTATTAAGCTGAGATATGTGGTTTACTCCTATATATGATAATAAAACTGAGTTGCTAACTGATTGAATATGATAATGGAAAGATAATTAAATAAAGGTTAAAATATATGGAATATGGACAAATATGAAACTGTTATGTGGAGAATGTAAAGTAGAGGTATGTGATTCACTTTTATACATGATAATTAAACTGCTAATTGATTGAATATGACAATGGAAGGACAATTAAGTATAGGTTAAAATATATTAAATATGGATGTATATAGAACTCCTAACATTATGAACAAAGTGAGTACCACTTGTTATTCTATATAGATTGATGGAATTGTAATGAACATTGAACAGTAAGAATTGTTATTTAAAGACAATTAAGGGTAAGCTAAGTCAAGATATGGAAAACGGAGAGGGAATATGAAATATACTTACAATGGGAAATTATTTAGATTATAAAGACAGAACTACAAATTTGGGGCGTGTAAGGATACATAACTATATAAATATAATGATGAGAATAGCTGGGAATCGTAACCAGGTCTACATCTCGGCCAAAAATAGGCTGGGGGAGGTGTTTAAAAATACAATTACTATATATGTATACTTTTTTTTTTCTTTTAAAAAAAGAGGAAGATATGTTAAAATTAAATATGTATATTGAAAAGGAATTATAAATACCATTAACATAAAATGGAGCTCATTCAGAGGCTGAAATACACCAAGTAAATGAGATGAAGAGTGTGAAGTAGAGGAGAGAGGGAAGGAGAGGGATAGGAGAGAGGGCAGAGGGAGGAGAGGAGGAGAGAAAGGAAGAGTGGAAAGGGGAGAGAGGAGAAGGAGAGAGGAAGGGGAAGTAGAGAAGGACGACAGAAGGAAGAAAGGAGGTAGGGAGGAGAAGGAGAGAGGGAGAAGAAAGTGATGGATAGGGTACAAATATGGTGTAAGGAGAGGAGAAGAGCCAATAATTGTTTCTGGGAGTTGATGGTAAGACAAATTGATGTAAACATTTAACAATATAATATGATGTTGGTTACGTAATAGTATACATGTGGTTATTTGTTATGAAAATGAAAAAATAAAAAGCTTTATATATGAAATAACAACCCTGTGAGGTAAGTTAGATTGAGAGAGAGGAACTGGGCCTAAGTCATCCATGTGTTTTCCATGCCTAGTTTCTAGCCTAGTGCCTTCAATACTAGACTGAACTAGCTCTAGCCTAAAGTTCCTAAAACAATGAATCACACCAACATTTCTATTCCTGCCCTTCATTTAATTAACTGACCTACAATCACTGTCTTTTTGCATAGTTTTCTTCAGGCTTCTTTTTGTCTTCAGTGTTTCACCTACCCACAGTAAAATATTTCCAAATATCTCTATTTTGAATTTGTACTGAAAATATATGTATACATATACATTGTTCGATTTATATTTCTAGAAATAAACCCATGCATAGCACATAGAAAAAAAAATCTGATGTGTTATTACCAAACTAAATTACATTATCAGTTGGCAAGCCATAATTTCCTGCTGTAATTCTAAATACATATTTTTTCCAATTTGCATATACAGGTACCTAATGATCAAAATGGAGGTGAAGTTTACAAGTAATAACATTCTGAATTGCACCCAAGCTAAGGAATATACCATTGGCAATTACTTACTCTTCACTTTTCTACCATTAGAAAAGGAGTTCAGACTTCCTTCTTCAGTAAAGTTTTACTTTTGAGTTTTATAAAACTTCTTTCTCGGTGGACTTCTGCTCAGACTAGGTGGGAGGGCTCAGTGATGGTGGGATGAACTAAGGTAACCCTTGCTAGTATGAGCAAATGGGAAGAAGGGCAAGTGGGACATAGCAGATATGAAGAAAGTGAACCAAACCAACACAACAAACTTCCAATCAAACTTGGAAAGCGGCACTGTATGATCAAGAACACCTCATGGACACAGCTGAAACAACAACTGTGGATGTCAAAGGTCAGAACATACTGGACAGACACTGAACTTTCACAAACAGACCTGGAGCTGATGATGTAAACAGACAAGAGTAAAGACACTTATTCATTGAAAGTGTCAGTACTGAAAGAATTCCTAGGTTTACAAGGACATTTCCAATCAAAATATCCGGGGGGGGGGGGTCAACCCATATTTTAATCTTAAAATACAAGAATCTGACAAGAAATTCACCAAATATCAACCCATATTTTAATCTTTTAAAAAATACAAGAATCTGACAATAATATTCAAGTTTACTGGCAAAT